CCTTAAGAAAGTGTTTTTCTGACTTTTGGCAGAAATCCCTGATTTTCTGCATTCTGTGGATGCACTACTATGGATGAGAGGATGGATCATCTTGGACTTGTAAATTCTTTTCCTTCCTCTTGAAAATTCCAGTTCTCTTGGCTTTAAGCAATTGGAATTAAAAAGGACGAAGAATCATATTTTCATGCATAGCTGCAATTCTTTGGGCTTTAAGAAATTGGAGTTCTATGTTTGCATGGAATAGTTTTTCCATGTATATTCTGTGTCTGAGCTTCTGTTAAAAACACACAAGCATGTTTAGTTGATTGATACTTTCAAAACTAATTTCAGTCTTTTTAATCTTAGATCTCTGAATGGGAAATTAATCTTAAGATGTTTTAAAACAGATAGTTGAAACTTATTTCTTAAATAGTACTGTTACCAACATGATATATTAAATACTTATCACTGGAAAACACCAGCAGCTTTTAAAATGTTTGCTTAAAAACTCATTATCTATTCAGTGTGGGTTCTTCTAAACTACAGCTCTTGAGAGAAGAAAAGGCAAAGAATAGACAAGTTGTTAGAAACACACAAGCCAGACAGGAGGGTTTCTCTTCCGTGTTTTAAATAGACATCGTTGAAACTTAGCAGACTCTGAGTAGCTGTGACAGTGGATTGTGGCTTTCAATGGTACTATTAGTGCCACTGCCCTTGTGAGTAAGTGCTGGGGCCGGAGGAGGCGGCCTCTCTGTTTTTCTTTGCCCCTTCCATCCTCAGTCTGCCCACTGCTCACCCCCAAGTCTAAATGGGACCTTTGCATGGTCTTTGGAAGAACATTCTAAAAGCAGGTCTGTGCTATAAATATAGCAGCAGATTTTTAGTAACAAGCCACTAAACTAACTAAAGAAAGAAAACTCTTATCAAAGGCCCCTGGCATCTGCTTGGAATTCGTGTTTTATACCTTAATTTTACTTATGTTGACTTCTAATAGGCTTTATTCTGAAGCTTTCTTGATTGGTAATTCAAGTAGTTACTTGGGGATATAATGGACATGGCATATAGTAAAGGTTCAATAAAAAGAATGATAATCACATCTTCATGCTTATCAGCAAATAGAACTTTCTAGGCCCTGTCTGCACCCTGGTCTAGAGGCCCCCTACCTGAGATTCGAATCTGCCAGTAGAGCTTGACCCCTCAGCCCGTAACAAGATTTTTTTTGCCCCAGTCAGGACTGTTATCCCAGGTAAGAAGCCTTCTCCCTTGCTCTACCCAGGAACTTTGTCAGGAGGAATGAATAGAAGCTCCCAACACTCCACAGTTGGGAACTCGTGCTCGATTCTCTCAGAAAGCTCCCTGTCACTGCTGCTGAGCGCATACTTACTGCCCTCGCTTCTCAGACAAAGCCGGTCTAAGACAATCAAAATTCAGCTCTGAAAACAAAAGCTTTGGGAAGCAAATTACCGTTGTGCCTCATTTCATGCAATAATTATGTACTTTTCAACACTGTATGCCAATGCATTTTTTGCTCATTTAAAGCCTGAATTTTCGAGGGTTACTTGCACCTACCAGGCACTAAGAGGTATTTGTTGAAGGAATGGTGAAATTAACAGATTCCTCTCTAAAGTGAAAACTATTTATCAAGAGAAAAGCTGCTCGGTTATTTAACTCATTTTATATCTGTAACTCTGTTTATCTAGTTGACTTAAGGAGGGACTCTCTTTTAAATGGTCCACCTTAATAACACTTTGTGGCTGAGCTCTAGAAATCTTCATGCCAGAGAAACCCAGAGCCCCAACAGTTTGGGTTACTGTCTTCCTTGCCACTCATAGCACATGATTAGGTGGCTGTAGCTGGCTTAGTACTCCTGGCCATGGCATGATCTTTGGCAAAGAACTTGACCCTCTCGGCCTCAATTTCCTCATCTGTAAAATGGGGGTGCTGTGGGGTTTAAAGAATACATGTAGATCGCTTATCATGGTCTCTGGCACCTAGTAAGGTTCATTTGATGTTAGCTTCTATTATTATTTTATTAGTCATCTTTTTTGTGCCCCTTGTGTCTTTGTGTTTAGCTTTTTCTATCTCTGTGTTCTTATTTTCTACCCTCACTTCTTCATACTTTTCTTTTTTCTACTACCTTTCTTCCTCACTCATTAATTAGGTGTAATAGAAAATGAAACAAAGCCTAATGATTATTGTCATTTCTTTGAATGCATTTTATCATGTAGCCAATACTTTTTCCTCATTTGTTAAAAGAGAAAATGAGTGATTTCAATGATTTAGATTTAGATTTCACACTTCCCCGCCCCCTCAGCTTTTAAAAAGTAGGCGTGGTGGCTCACACCTGTAATCCTAGCACTCTGGGAGGCCGAGGCGGGCGGATTATTTGAGGTCAGGAGTTCGAAACCAGCCTGAGCAAGAGCGAGACCCCGTCTCTACTAAAAATACAAAGAAATTAATCGGACAACTAAAAAATATATAGAAAAAATTAGCCGGACATGGCGGCGCGTGCCTGTAGTCTCAGCTACTCGGAAGACTGAGGCAGAAGGATCGCTTAAGCCCAGGAGTTTGAGGTTGCTGTGAGCTAGGCTGATGCCACAACACTCTAGCCCGGGCAACAGAGTGAGACTCTGTCTCAAAAAAAAAAAAAAATAAAAAGTATATCTAAAAAGTACTCTATTAGTTTCCTAAGGCTGTTATAACAAATGACCACAAACTTGGTAGCTTAAAACAACATAAATTTATTTCACACACAGTCTTGAAGGCCAGAAGTCTGAAATCAAGGTATAGGCAGGATGGTTCCTTCTGGAGGCTCTGAAAGAGAAATTGTCCTGTGTCTCTCTCCTAGCTTCTATGTTTCCTGACAATCGTTAGAGTTCTTTGGCTTGTAGACACATCACCCCATCTCTGTCTCCATCTTCATATCACTGCCCTCTCTTGTTTGACTCTGTTATCTGTCTTCTTATAAGGTGACCAGTCATTGGATTTAGGGCCCACCCTAATCCAGTACGGTATCATCTTAATTATATCTTCAAAGACCTTATTTCCAAATAAGGTCCCATGCACAGTGACCAGGGGTTAGGAGTTGAACATCCCTTTTTGGGAGTATACAATGCAACCCACTACAAGGACTTTGATTTTCCCAGAGCCCTCAACAGGAAGGATCTCTAACCTCACCCCTGAAATGATGCATCATCAGCGCTATTAGTTAAAGTTTACAGTTTCATTAAAGGTTTTCACGTCCACAAAGAAAGGTCTTTAGATGTAATCTAATTGCGTTTAAGCGTCAGTCCCTTGGCCCAGGCACCACTGCTAATTTCCATGGCTATTGATTTAACGTCTCTAAAGAAAAGTTTTCATTGATTTTTTTTTTTATCAATGCTTCACCGCTCTGATAGAAAGCGATAAAATTGAATCATTCTTGGTCTCTTATCTTTACCAAGCATTTCTTCATGAAAAGAGGTGTGGTAAGGGCACCCAAAAATTTTAAAATAGCTGGTGAGCTTCCATTTTTAGTAGTAAGTCAGAGCATCTATTTGCTGTGGCTGATTCATATTCAGAGTATATAATGAAATTTAAGATGTAGCTATTCACATTAACATAAGA